GATTTCCCATGTCTAGAGATTTATTTTTCACATCTTTTTAAATTAATTCAGCTTTTTATCCATCAGATAAACCATTTTTTTATTCAAAGAGTGCCACTCTGTCAGGTGGGCTCCGTTGCAAAATTCGTAGTGGTATAAGGTCGTTGGAATCCAGGGAAAATACTTCGATTACTGGAAAATGATGCTATGAATTTAATCATTTAATATGACTTTGGAGTCAATCTAGTCAAACGGACACTACAACCACCAAGTTGTCTCGACGAGTAACATGTCATTTTTTATGAAAGTGGTGTTTCTAACATGATCCTTCTCCAGATCCTTGTCAAAAATAGCTGTATTATTTATAGTGTGGTTCCTAATGAAATACAAGTTCTAGAAGATCTTGTGATTAAAAAGGGGTGAGTAGAATGTTTCTCGCCAGAAATGTTGCATGCTAGCCAGTGCTCCGCAGTAGACAATTTAAGTATAGGAAGCCCTAAATCATAGGTAATAAAACCACTGGCCTATCTCGATAATTAACCTGCCACTGATCCAGTCAAAAGGAAGATCGACGCCCACATGAATGAAATCAGACGGCATAACACTGGTGTACCGGGCATTGGCAGACGTTAGCTCTCTTTTGACTACACATAAAGATTTTGTCTCAACTGTAAAAGAAAGAAAAAAGGAATAAGAAAACAGAACAAAAAATGCAACCAAAGAAAGAAAGAAAGACAGAAAGAAAGAAAGAAAAGGATTTTCCTTCTATTTCTTCGTGATATTAAAAGAAAAAAAATGGAATAAATAAAAAAGAAAGAGATAAGAATGAACGAAAAAGAATAAAAGAAAAGAAAGAAAAAGTTAAAAAGAATTTAAAAAAGAAAAAAGAGAACTGAAAAATAAAGCAACGAAAGAAAAAGAAAAGAAAGAAAAGAAAAGAAAAAAGAAATGAACGATATAAAAATTTAAGAAAAAGAGAAACGAGAAAAGAATGAAATTAAGAGAATAAAAGATAGGAGGAGGAAGAAGAAAGAAAGAAAAAGACAAAAAGAATGGACGAAAGAACTAAAGGAAAAGAAAAACAAAACAAAGAAAAGTAAAGAAGAAAAACAAAGACAGAAGCGAAAACAAGGAAAGAAGAAAGGAAACGAAAGAAAGAAAGGGAAAGAAAAGCAAAAGAAAGAAAGAAAGAAAGAAAGGAAATGACTGTGATTGATAACGAAATAGAATTAATGTCTATTTAGCAAACGTAATGGGGTCTGGCTCAAGGATCACATTCGTGAACCACGAATAAGTATCAAACATAAAAGAAATGGCTGACACCGTTCCACGTTAGGCGCTGAAAAAAACTGTAGATATATGTCATGTAAGAGAATATTAGAGGGAAGAATAGAGAGAGAGAGAGAGAGAGAGACAGAGATATTTTAAAACGGAGAAGATCGTGGTACATGCTAAAGAAAGATGAAATCAGAGATTAAACGAGAGAGACTGAAGTGGAGAAAGAAGAAGAAGACGCGCAGAGGAAGGAGAAAAACGAATGTAGAGTAAGAAGAGGTATATCTTTCCGAAAGCAGACGATCCACGAGTCATGTTTGACAAGTGGAATGATCAAAAAATGTTTTTCGCGGCTGATTTATCGTCTTGTTTGCCTCGGCTTCAAGATAAAATCAGTGAACGAATCAAATACAAATTTAAGATAAAATTTATGTTAAAACGACAATAAAATCACAAAACTGACATGCTTGACACTTTTTAAAGTATTCGGCGTTAGAAATTTGCAAGTTAAAGACACATCAACACGCGTAACCACCTAACCACTCAACTACACACACACACACACACACACGTACACATACACACATATACACCCCCATACATGAATATTGTAAATTTCGGCAGTAATCTTTCTTTTATATATATTTCATTTCTTTTATACATATTTCATTGAATGCCACATTGAATCCTGATAAGGAAAGTTTTTTGTTTTTGTTCAATTTTTCTAATGTCCTTGGTGTTTTGCTTTTATGGGGTCTAAGAGAGTGTAGAAACAGTTCGTAGTAATTAATGTCTCAAACGCTTTCGGCTAAGAATTAGCCATTTTCAAGGTGTTATATATATATATATATATATATATATATATAATATATATATATATATATATATATATATATATATATATATATATTGAACAATAAAAAATATTAAAAAATTAAAATCTTCAGGCACACTGGGTTGTAGATTAATATTCTTTCGTTTTTTTTTATTATTATTTCATTTAGATTCCTCGACTAGTTTCGGCCAAAATGGCCATCATCGGGAGAAGAAATATTTCTGCTTGCTGGTAGCAGTAAACTTCAGAAATGAATGTCTTGATGGAGAAAATGAACTTTTGTCTGTAGTCTTCATTTGTTTTTTTTTTTTTTTTATCTTTATAACATATATATATATATATATATATATATATATATATATATATATATATATATCCGATGCGATGAGAACGAAAGTAATATATCAATTCCAATGTTCACAGCATTAATTCAAAAGAGGGCACGATACCGATAGTAAGAGCGATAATTATTCCTTTATCATATAGAAAAACCATTGTTCATAACCATTTTCGATTATCACCCGTCGAAGTGCAGTTGAAATGCACTGAAACCAAGGTGCTACTTTGTAGTGAGTAAAATGGTTTTGTCTATATGATAAAATTATAATAAAGGAATAATATATATATATATATATATATATATATATATATATATATATATGTGTGTGTGTGTGTGTGTGTGTGTGTGTGTGTGTGTGTGTGTGCAGAATTGAAATAATTTTATTATAATAAATTACAATAAAAACATTTTGCATCGCTACACAAAAATTTTCATGTTTCGGAACTATAATTTTTTGCTATTCAGGCGATTGTAAATAATATAATAAAAATGTTCTCCTCTTTCTTTAGTATGTACCACAATCTCTTCAGTTTTAAAACCCTCTCTCTCTCTCTCTCTCTCTCTCTCTCTCTCTCTCTTTCTTCTTTCCTCTAATATTCTCTTACATGACATATATCTACAGTTTCTTCAGCGCCTAACGTGGAACAATGTCGGCCATTTCTTTTGTGTTTAATACTTATTAGTGGCTCACGAATCCCATTACGTATCCTTAATAAAAATGATTTATTTTGGAAATTTGAAAACATATCTTTACCTCTTTTGGAAGTTAAAAAGAGGGAGGGAAACCCTTATACATTCAAGTACTTTCGGCATTCAATACAGTTATTATCGAACATTGCAGGTGATCCGTCTGCTAAAGAAAATACGTTTTTATATTGCTAGAATTAGAATTTAAGTGAGTTATAGGTGACATCACTTGCAACAGTAAGATTGAAAAGCATGTATCTACAAGGGGTGTGTGGACTGTATTCTTTACACTGCTCATGTCTAAGGACATCTCATCTAGTTCTTAGTTCGCGCCAGTTTTCACTAAGTTCAAGTACACGCTGCTCGACCCAGGGACTGAATTCATAACAACTATATCACAAAATTCACGAGCCAACATTTTAATACTCTAGGCCATTGTTCCGTATTACTATAATTCCTATAAATTAAATAACTCGTTATAAATCGTTCAAATCGCATAGATTAAATAAAGGGTCAAGTTCAAAATTCCCGGTAGGTTGCCCAGAAAAAATTAGGCCTGAGGAAGGTCGGAGGGCACAATGGCTGAAACGTTGTGATGATAATTAGGAAGAGGACTATAGTCTGAATATAAATACTGTAAATAATGATAACTCTTCATCCCAGAAATTTAGGCAGAAATTACACGTATTTGATTAACAACTCAAATAAATGTACCCACTGAAAATAACGTTTCTAGTAATATATATATACAGACACATAGCATATATATATATATATATATATATATATATATACACATGCACGCACAAACGCACACATACACATACACATAAACACACACACACACATATATATATATATATATATATATATATAAAAAGAAGTGATGGAAAATTATGTTTTCTCTGAGGACGAAACGCATCGGCTAAGTATAATTTTTTCCTCTTGTCTATTTTTATTCATTTTGTCTCTTCTACAGACACACTGCATCTGAGTATATTTACACACACACTCATATATATATATATATATATATATATATATATATATATATATATATATATATATATATATATAAAAAAAAGAAAAGAAGTGCCATAACGTTTTTTTGTTGTAATGTGGATTTATTTAGAAAAAATAATTATGCTATTTGTTTTACATAAAAAAAAGTTTAATTTTACATAAAACAAATATAAATATTTTCTCTCGTTGGAACCACTACAACCTCTTTCTTTTATATTTATATATATATATATATATATATATATATATATATATATATATATATATATATATATATGAGTGTGTGTGTAAATATACATACAGATAAGAGAAAAACCTTCACACGAAAAAATATAATTTTCAGATTAGCACTAAAATTTTTTCTTAGCAAAATTAGGAACACAGCAATTTTTGTCTTAGAATAAGCATGACCCTGATGCCGACATTGTGCTAATGTACTCGGAATAAAATGAATATTGCAGCAACATGGTCATTTTCTTTTCTTTCTTTAATAAGGAAACTAAGAATCTTGTCCGTAATTATGAGAGCATCCTATTAAATATAAGTAGAGAAAACTTGTCTAAATTATTTAATGAGGCATATACATATATATATATGTGTGTGTGTGTGTGTGTCTGTGTGTGTGTAAAAGTGAATATATTAATGTAAAAGTGCAAATAATTCTGTGTAACACCATTCATCCACTAAAAGGTAAAAGGTCTTCATTGAATTAAAAGTAATGTTCTATTAATGGAATTATATATATATATATATATATATATATATATATATATATATATATATACATGAATTATTCACACAAAAACTAATGCAAAGGTTAATGATTTAAATGGTGAGACATCCATCCTCACAAACAATTCA